TTGGTGTGAAAATATAAAACAGACAACGAAGTAAGAGCAATTCCTTCCTCTTTCAATTCTCCCTCTAACAGCGAAATATTTGATCAAAACATTTACATTGGTTTCCCAAGAAACCATATTTGCTTCGAATTTCGCGAAAATCTGAGAAGCTGGAGAATTCTCAAATACCTGTAACAGGAAATTAAAATACTCAGCAGCTTTCCATGCGTACATGACATTACGAACAGAGAACAACATTAGTTTACGCTATAAATCGTGCATTTCTTGGTTGGACTACACCACTCATATCCACAACCACTCATAACAAAATAAAAGAAACAATTCAGTTAACAAATACTTCAAAGACCGCACAGAAAACGATACCTATTTAACTAAACAATTAAGAAAGTGATTTTATTTACTGCCATAGAAAGTATGGCACATTACATGGCTACATTGTAATCATAAATATTTGGTAGAATACATTTCTTTTAACCACCTATAAAATCATTTAAATAATCACGTGCTCTTAATAACACAATTATTTTTTTCGTGTTCATATAACTCATAATCCGCGAAAACTGAAGAGTAAACCTAATTTCTAAACAACACTTCTGATTTATACTTAAAAAGCAAGAAACAAACGTCAAGGCCTTGAAGGGGGAGAGAGTATAAATTACCATAATATTTTAATTATACGAAGTGCCAAATCATACCCATATCTTAAACGTCTAAGCACGTCTGTGTTATATGTACGAAATATCAAATTATACCCATTTTAAAACTATATTGCATATCTGTGCTAATTGTACGAAATATCAAATCATACTCATCTTAAAACAGTACTGCATAATCGTGCTAATTGTAAGAAATATCAAGTCATACACATCTTAAAACTGTACTGCATAACCGTGCTAATTGTAAGAAATATCAAGTCATACTCATCTTAAAACTGTCTGCATAACCGTGCTAATTGTAAGAAATATCAAGTCATATCCATCTTAAAACTCTTTTGCATAACCGTACTAATTGTAAGAAATATCAACTCATACTCATCTTAAAACTGTACTGCATAACCGTGTTAATTGTAAGAAATATCAAGTCATACTCATCTTAAAACTGTACTGCATAACAGTGCTAATTGTAAGAAATATCAAGTCATACCCATCTTAAAACAGTACTGCATAACCGTGTTAATTGTAAGAAATATCAAGTCATACTCATCTTAAAACTGTACTGCATAACCGTGTTAATTGTAAGAAATATCAACTCATACTCATCTTAAAACTGTATTGCATAACCGTGCTAATTGTAAGAAATATCAAGTCATACTCATCTTAAAACAGTACTGCATAACCGTGCTAATTGTAAGAAATATCGACTCATACCCACCTTAAAACTGTACTGCATAACCGTACTAATTGTAAGAAATATCAACTCATACTCATCTTAAAACTGTACTGCATAACCGTGCTAACTGTAAGAAATATCAAGTCATACTCATCTTAAAACTGTATTGCATAACCGTGCTAATTGTAAGAAATATCAAGTCATACTCATCTTAAAACAGTACTGCATAACCGTGTTAATTGTAAGAAATATCAAGTCATACTCATCTTAAAACTGTACTGCATAACCGTGCTAATTGTAAGAAATATCAAGTCATACTCATCTTAAAACTGTACTGCATAACCGTGCTAATTGTAAGAAATATCAAGTCATACTCATCTTAAAACTGTACTGCATAACAGTGCTAATTGTAAGAAATAAAGTCATACCCATCTTAAAATTGTACTACATAATCGTGTTAATTGTAAGAAATATCAACTCATACTCATCTTAAAACTGTACTGCATAACCATATTTTGCTAATTCAGGACAACACATTCTGATTTCTTTGATCTTTGCAGTAAAGAAATAAAGATGTATGATAATCAAAATCTCCCACGGATCTAATGTTTTGACTTGAATTGTGTTTTCTCCGAAAGTATCTAAATACACTTTTGTAATTTGTTACTGAAATAAATCGGCGTTTCTTTGGAGCTTGCAGGAGTATAAACTATTAAACTTACCTTGTTTAACGCGTATTACATTTTTACAATTTCTAAAAGTATCACATTTTGATTTGAATATCTTTGTACTTGTAAAACGAGTAAATGATATCTATTTAGAATAAAGTTTTTTTATTTAAAGGTATATTAAGAGATATTCAATAACACTTTCTTGGTAATTAGATATTTTCATTTTCGTGTTTATATATGTATTTTTAAACCTAAGTTTTCTCTTAATACGACAACTTCTAATATGTTTGTCTGAAGAATTAACGAATATTAAATGAACATTCTCGTACTTATCACATAGCAACAGCTTAAATATAAAATAATAAGAAATTCTGAGAACTTATGAGTAAAAGTAAATGAAAATGTATAACATTATATTAGCCACACTATATCAAGTGCCGACGAGGCCTTTCGTCCAGTACCATGGTTCATCATGTCGGTTGGGTTACGACAAGCACAATAGTAGTTAAGACGTTATTCATATTGTAAAATTACACAAACAACAACTGTTTTGGTGCGAACTAGATTGTTGAAATGTAGTTTTCAATTTTATATGAATAATTTAGATACCAGAATTATTTTAAGTAGTAATAACGATTTATATATTTTAACACCAATTATTTATGTATTTACTTGAATTAACTTTAACATGTCAAGGTAAATAGAATGCCCTGCCATTTTCACTTATGTTCCTATTCGTCCGTCGCCTGGTTAAACTTTATATACATATAGATACTACATATTTTTTACAATGCTAGCAAAGTCACACCTTGATAATCCTGTTCCCGGTTAGCACGGGCTTGTCTTGTGGCGTCACTTTTAGATTCATGCTCAACAACCTTGACCAATAAAAAAGTCTGATAAACTAGTGGTCAAGCAAGATATAGTTTAATTGATACGTGGTTGTCTGAAACAGACTGTGTCTACAAAGAGTAGTGATTCCGTTCTTGAATGAAACATTTATAGCTAAGCCTCGTCTGAGATGTAGAAGTTACTGAAGCAACCACGCAGTTACAACTGTTAAATGCATTTTACATTCTCTAGAAACGATAGAAAAGAAACATATCTAAAAAGAGTTCCTATACATTATTAGTGATTGTCTTAACTATTAAAAAGCTCATGCATATGACGGTCCAATCCAATCTACGAAAACTGAATTTCACCGATTAAGAAAAATAGATACTCTAACGAAAAATATATCACTTTTTATGTTATGTCTGTTGTAGCGCCTTCGTGATACCTCTCACTCCAAATAAAATGTCTTTAAAAAAGTACACATCATCTTTATGCTCGCTTTCATGATAAAATAAAATGCCGTAATGATTAGTTGTGCTATGAGTAAGGCATAATGTCCGGAAACTGAAGGGACACAATATTGTAATGTGTAGGAGCCGAATAGAGAAGCAGTACTGAATAGTTATACTTATGCTGTGAAGCAATGCTCAGAAGCTAAAGAGAGACACAGTATTGTAATGTCCAAAAGCTGAAGAGAGACACAGTATTGTAATGTCCAAAAGCTGAAGAGAGACACAGTATTGTAATGTCCAGAAGTTGAAGAGAGGCACAATAGTAAATAGTTATAACAGAGCTCTTAAAGTACTTTAAACAAACACACATACATGCACAGGCTATACTGTCGCTTGGGTAATCATTGCAAATGCCTTAATCGACTACGTACTGAAAGAGGACACTCCAACTAACAATGAAATATTTCTTGCTTAATGATTTATCACAGATAAGTCGAACAAAACCCAGGAGACAAAATTCATTCTGATAGACTAGAATACAGGTAAAGAATAGCAGAACTTAGGAAACAAAGTGCCTTGGACGGTTTACCAACTACTTGTTGTTATCAAGTTTCTTGAGTCACAACATGAGAAATAATTAGCTTCTTCGTTATTTTTTGTTAAGCACGTAAATCGAAGAAAAAAGGAACTCAAAAGCAACAAGGCATGTTTTAGAGAATGTGTATATTACTGGGAGTTTTCCAACAGTTGTAGACAGTGGTGTAAAGAAAGGCTAAATAAAGAAGGGCCAGAATATATTTAATCGTGTAAGGTGGGATTCGTTTGAAATAGTGTCGATATGGCGTTCCAATAATAAAAAAAAAGGTACAGGTACCATGTCAACACGTTCCCACCCCATTACACCTCTGGTTGTAGATAATATCGCAAGCCATATTTAAGAGCAGACTTGGTGTTTTGAGGATGAAACAATCTAAAAAACAATAATAACAACAGGTTTGGCTAAAACAATAATAAAATACGGAATCTTGAAGCTTCTTTCGGGCTAAACTTGTAGATAGGAGGTGCTGATATAATAAAACTTTCTTTCTTCTGTGCTGTAATTTGCCAGAAAACGATTGCAGGGAGAGTTTTTTTGTTTGTAGTTAAGTCCAAAGCTACACAATGGGCTAACTGTGCTCTGCCCACCACCGGTATTATCTAAACCCAATTTCTAGCGTTGGAAGTCTGCAGACATACAGCTGTGCTACTGGGGGGAAGGGGGAGTGAGAGGGATAGCTGTTAACATATAAAAATCACGAATTATTTAAGCTTTGATACCTCATAAAATTTCATACTGAACAGTTTAAATCACACTTCAAAGATTATAGATATGGTTAACTTCATATTAAATATTTTAAGATTTATATACAGTTTAAGAAAGGCTTATAATAGAATGAAATTCACACAACTAAGAAGTTTACTGCTAATTTTAAATAAAGAAATATTTTATTTTACTTTTATGTGTCCTATTGTTATCAGTCATAAACATTTATATCAATATATGATTCTGTGGCCTCACAATTCCAAACCAGAAGCTGTTTGTGATGTACACTTTATCTTCGTTTTCTCATATATGAATAAATGTCTATTAAAAGAAAAACTGGTCCCACGTGAATTTGGCCATTTGAAGATATTGACAGTTTGGTATAAAAATAAAAATTAACATATATTAAAACAAAATTAGACGATTTCCTCGAGGAACTCTATCTGTCATGGTTAGACAAAAATCGAAGCTGTTCGATTTTCCTAATTTCTTCACCTCCTTATACAGCAGTGTGTCTCTTCATATGGAGTGAAAGATGGTCGGACCTGGAAAAGGCACGTTCACATAGACGGCATTGAAATGGTCTGTCACCAGTGTGCTTCCTGTAGTGCCTGGTCAATTCATCGGAACGTGCAAACTTCCAGCCACAGCCCTTCCACGTACACTGATAAGGTTTTTCACCGGTGTGAGTCCGAAGATGGGCTTTTAGGTGTGAACTTTTTGTATATGTCTTAGTACAACCTGGATGGGAACACGAATGGCTTGTGATCTTTTTTCGCCCTAAACTGCGACGTCCCTTCTTGTTTTTTGCAGTAGTTGAGTTCGGCAACTGGACCACACTCATTGTTGGCACGTACCCATTTCTAGTCTGGTTTGTCCCGTTTAGAAGGTCAACCAAGGTAGGAGAAGATGGTGGTGTCACTATTCTGATATGTTGTTGTGTGTGGGAAACAGAGTGGGGTGGCGGCGCTATAAGAGATTGCAAAACAGAGTGATGTGGTTGTATTAAGGAAGATGAAACCGCTTGAGGGACCGGAGTGAAGACATCCAGTACTGTGGACGCCACCTTTTGGAGCTGGAAAGCCGTTCTTTCTGGAGATGCCGGTGGAGACATTTGGCTCGAAATAAGAGTCATATTGCTACTGTAGTGTCCCAGTGAGAGATTGCCGTAAGGTGGTGGAATGGTGCTAGTTGGACATACTCCTAACGGATATTTAGTTGTTGTCCCATTTGAAGACTCTGATTGAGAAGAGAGATGATCCAGTTGCTGGCAAAGTGTTTCAGAAACATCAGTAGAAGTATCCACAGCAGGACGGCAGAATTGAGAAAAGTTCTGTTTTTGGGAAGCATCTGTCGAAGTGCTAAAGCCACTTTCTTCTGTATAAGTACTTGTTCTGTCAGGACTGAGCACAAACTCTAGTTCTAACATAAGGTCATCGAGGTTACTTTGAGATTGTTGCTTTAGTTGTTGTTGTTGTTGAGGGTGCAGTTCCTGTAGCAGCAAAGAAGTGTTGATTTCTGGCTGCTGTTCCATCTGCTCCTTGTGGTTCGCAGATGCTATTTCAACTCCTGTAGAATCGTGGAACGTCATTGCACTCACTTTGGGTTGGATCATTTTAAAATTTTCAACAGGTGGTTGTGGATCGACTAGCAACACACTTTCAATGTCATGCCACATCTGAAAAACAAAAACAGATTTCCAATAAGTTCAAACACAAATCTACTATACCGAGCGGCCTTAAGCAAAACACAGAAAACAAACATCAACTGAGTTTAGAAACGGATACCATGCTGCCTAAAGCAAAACATCAAACAAATACCAGTTAAGTTTAGAAACAAATATAGCATGTTACCTAAAGCAACACAAAGAAAACAAACATCAATTGAGTTCAGAAATCAAGATACTATACTGCCTAAAGCAACACACAAAAAACAAATATAGCATGTTACCTAAAGCAACACAAAGAAAACAAACATCAATTGAGTTCAGAAATCAAGATACTATACTACCTAAAGCAACACACAAAAAACAAATATTAACTAAGTTTAGAAACAAAGCATATGCGTTAGTTTTATTAGTACTGAATTCGCCACCTGGCAGCTCAGAGGTAGCTTTAGGAGCCTGTAACTCTAAAAATCAGGATTCCATCCCGACAACTGATACAGAAAAGATAAGCTATATTGCAACTATGTGCTGAACAAGACACAATAACCAACATTCAGAAACAAAATAACATCTAGAGAAAACACTAAACTTGTTGTCACTTTCCACTGTGTAAGAAAAATGGAAGAAAAACTAAACCTTTAATTTTTTTTAATAAGGCTGAAACATCTTAGCGTAAGAAGCAAAATATATGTTATGTAAATAAATATATCAATTTCATGAAAGTTGATGTGAAATTTAATCACAGGAGTTAATGCAGCTTTCACGCCGATCTAATGTTTAACTTTATAAAGTAACAAAACCTGCTAAAGATTTTACTGTATAATTACATAGTATTTTTCAACCATTTGTCAAACTTTTACAACGTTTACTATTTTAAACAACCGATTATTCCGTTTGTTTCACGATATAAAACAGGATTATGACAACCATTTATCAAACTTTTACAACGTTTACTATTTTAAACAACCGATTATTCCGTTTGTTTCACGATATAAAACAGGATTATGAGCAACCAAAGGTTTATAATTGAATAATATTTTCAATTAAATTAACGTTTTAGTTACGAATTAGTTAATTTATTGATTTGATAACCATGGTAATGATGATTTCATAGCTTGAACATAACACAGTTAATGAAAACGATTAATCAAAAAATAAGACGTATATTTCTAAGTTATATAGTTTTAAAATGTTTTCCTCGCGATAAGTTCATTTTAAAGTGCAACTCGGGGAATAAGTTCGTGCTTCGCGCACGATGTACGTACTATTATTTGTCTACTGAAATATTGTTTGACAAATACAAGAAGTGATATAGATGGGGAAGAATAGTCGACCTCCCACGAACGAAGCGCCATATGAACCAAAACCGAAAGATTTGTTTCACATATGCAGCATTAGTAAGTGGGATACTACATATATAAGAAGGGTATATATTTTAAATTAGTAAATTCTTTAAATAATGCTGTTGTTGTATTATGCAGTTAGACATGAAGCAAACAAACCTTCGTTGTATTTAGATTTAACATAAAAAGTGTAAGAACATGGAATGACTATGAACGAAATGTATCTCTTTTGCCTGGCAGGGCCAGGTGGTTAGGAAGCTCTACTCACAATCTGCGGGGCGCAGGTTCGAATCCCCATCCCATCAAACATGCTCGCTCCTTCATCCGTGGGTGCGTTATAATGTGATGTCAATTCCGCTATTCGTTGGTAAAAGAGTAGCGCAATAGTTGGCGGCGGGTGGTGATGACTAGCTGCCTTCCCTCTAGTCTTTCACTGCTAAATCAGGGACGGCTAACGCGGATAGCCCTTTTGTTGCTTTGCGCGAAATTCAAACCAAAGAAACAAAAAATATATTTCCTTACACAACATTTTGTCTTTGTGGATAATCGTCATCTTTGAATAAAATCTTGAGATTTTTTTTCTTGATCGAACAATTGATAAAGCGACGTTATAAAATAGTGAATTTTTTAAATAATGGTATCGAGAAGCGTAAAAATCAACTATCTTCGTTTGTCGCTGTTTTCCTTCCCTAACTTCCCTGTCCACCAAACATGCTCGCCCTTTCAGCCGTGGGGGCGTTATAATGTGACGGTCAATCCCACTATTCGTTGGTAAAAGAGTAGCCCAAGAGTTGGCGGTGGGTGGTGATGACTAGCTGCCTTCCCTCTAGTCTTACACTGCTAAATTAGGGACGGCTAGCGCAGATAGCCCTCGTGTAGCTTTGCGCGAAATTCAAAAACAAACAAACCTTTCGTAACGGTATCGACTTTTATTTATTCTTCTATAGGGTATTAACAAAGCGTCGGGTCTATTTCCACCAATAACGGAAATATAGTAATATTAAACACGTAAACGCATTCTTGGCATACGAACTGTATTTAAACTTCAAGCTTAACTGTCGATTTTTAGGCTCCTGTATTGAGATTGTTGGAAACGTATAACAGTTATAATACAGTGAATTTTAAAAATTATAGTATCAAAAAGAATAAAAAAGGCAACTATTGTCATGTTTTTATTTTTTAATTTCTTAATCGCTTTTGTATATCTTGTGGTGAAACCTGTAATCATTTTCTTTCACGCAATGTGTTAGCTACAGAGCATCGAAAATGAATGAAATTGTGGCAGTAACTATTAAGGCTAATTGCTGTAGATTATATAGTGGGTAAACTCGTGCTTCGCGTTCGAAGCGTATTTAAACTTTAGGCTTAATTGTTGATTTTAAGGCGTCTATTGAAATTTGCATTGAGATGTAATGGTATTGTGTTATTTATAAGCTGCAGAAAGGTAAAGAATTAACTTAATGTGTTTCCTTGCGTGTTATTTTACGTTACCAAGGTAATTGTCTTTAAAGTTAATGTTGTAAACGTCGTAGTTTTGCACTCATGTAGAACAATGCACGTTCAATTTCGTTCACTTTTGCACTCGTATAAACGTAAAAGTATTATTGTGCTATTAGCCAATAGGAATATTGGATTTCCAGATGAGAGAGCAAACATACACGCACGGACTGACTGACTCACATTGATATTTTAATTACGTGGATTTTACAACATTCTGTCTCCCATTGGTCGTTAAATATGAACGGTTAGTAGCCGAGTAAACAAAATTTAAAGACGCTCGCCATGGTTACAGAATCACCAAATCCACGAACTTAACGTGTAAGGTGTTTTTTGTGGATTTCCTACTGATTGAGTTACAGGGGTTCTGCTGCAGCATAGGTTACATGAGGAACACTTGGATGTCTAACACAGAGCTAGAATAACAGATGCAGTGTTCCTGTTTTTTGTGGATTTCCTACTGATTGAGTTACAGGGGTTCTGCTGCAGCATAGGTTACATGAGGAACACTTGGATGTCTAACACAGAGTTAGAATAACAGATGCAGTGTTCCGGTTTTTTTTTGCCAACTACTTTTTTCTATTATAACAAGTTTATTTTGAACCACCTCGTCTATAGCACGAACTTCATTCGCGAAAAAAAAAGAAGATAAAAACAACATCGCCAAAGCTTTTCAATAAACGTATAGTTAAAAAGTACAAGTCTTGATACCTAGCGATCCAAGACTTTTGGACTTCCAGTCCACATGAGAATTCATTTGAAAATGACCATTTTATTGGCCCTTATAGACATGAAACAGTTAACCTAGCTGCTCCTCAAAAGTTAATTATCGTTGTTGGCGTTCCGGCATGTTCGGATGAAGTACCTGATTTATTATGGAATCTAAATCATAAACTTAACGAACAGGGGCGGTAAAAGTATTTATTATCCACGCTAAGTTAAAACAGTATGATATACAAGTATAGTATATTCATTGTTTGCAACACAAAAGAAATAACATATTATATGACGTCCGGGAAACTTGCTATATCACGTCACGAGGATGCACTGTACAATACTTGAATACGTGAATTGACCGTTTACGACATCACGGGAACAGGAAAACAGTAGCAAACGCAATAATTTTCATGTTGAGCTGCATTTCATTTTATATTTTTTTAATGATTGCAATACTTCAAGACCCTGAAATTAGAAAAAAATTTTTTGGAAAATAATGAACAACTACAGTGTTTTAGATTAATGTTAAATTATTATTCCTTAACATGTTCATGTTTGTTTTCGAGCAAAGTCACATTACGCTGTCTGCTCTGTCCACCTATTATTGTCCCCGTTCCACCAAACGTGCTCGCTCTTTCAGCCGTGGGGGCGTTATAATGTGACGGTCAATCCACTATTCGTTGGTAAAAGAGTAAGCCCAAGAGTTGGCGGTGGGTGTTGATCACAAGCTGCCTTCCATCTAGTCTTACACTGCTAAATTAGGGACGACTAACGCAGATAGTCCTCGTGTAGCTTTGCGCGAAATTCAAAACAAACCAAATCACCTATTATTTAACTGAACATGATTCTTTCAAAATTTTCCTACAAAAAGTCGCACTTTACTTCTACTCATTTAAATTAGTCCGGACGTGGCCTAGTGTTTAACGTTTTTTAGCTGAGAATCAAGAGTCCAAGGTTCGAGATGTGTTGCTGCCGAACATGCTCATTTCAGTTATGGGCGCATTATAAAAGTTGCAATCAATAACGTTAATCGTTTCAAAGAATCAGACAAAGTCCTTGTAGTGGAGGGTGGTGCTGGCTGACCGTCCTCTTTCTGATTAGTTGTCCAAAACTAGTTATGACTATACTTGACTCCTAAGGGTCCTCCAACCCGATCGTTTAGTCCATGAGAACATAAGGTGCTGTCAGATTGTAAGTTCTAATCCCAACTTTTTTATTGTAAGTTTCAATCCCAACTTTTTTATTGTAAGTTCCAATCCCAACTATATGGCTATACTTGACTCCTAAGGGTCTTCCAACCCGATCGTTTAGTCCATGCGAACATAAGGTGCTGTCAGATTGTAAGTTCTAATCCCAGCTTTTTTATTGTAAGTTCCAATCCCAACTTTTTTATTATAAGTTTCAATCCCAACTTTTTATTTTAGGTTCCAATCCTAACTTTTTTATTTTAACTTC